CCAATTTTTATCCTTCTATCTTTTTATTCACTTTTTTTATCCTTTAATTATGAAAAATATATTCTTTAATCCTCCTATTAGTTAACCCATTAAATTTGTTTAAATACACATATTTTTAGCCTCTTAATTTTAAGTTGAGGGACAAAAAATATATAAATATTAAAAATTGAAGAATTAAAAATATACAAATTCAAATACACTTACCAGATTAATTGATGAAAGGATCACAAAAGTATATTTTTCATAGTTAAAAGACTAAAAAAATGTATAAAAAAATTAAGGAACAAAAATTATGCAAAACCTTAGAGTTAAACAAGCATATGCATTAAGCAAACTTTACTTTCTCTCGAGTCATAAGAAATCATAAATCTAATTCACACAGGGATGGAAGAGTTTCCTATGAGTTCATGTAAAATGCAAAAATTTTTCCTAAGATGAAAAGTTATTCCGCAATCCTAAATGTGGCATTTTATAGGAAGTACTGTGGATTTTTATAGAGGCTGCATCTCCAAGTTGGTGGCGTCTCCTCCAGAGTGTGGTGTCGAATGCTGGTTTTCACCAGCGGAGGTCATCTCTTGAACAGGAGGAGGGTTGACAATGGTCATTGGCATTACAAAGTTATCTGATAGGCGGTTCTTCATCTCTCTATGCTCCTGGCACAAGGCACACCAATGCATGCAGCAGTGCGCCAGGCACGGGTCACATGGCGAGTTCTGCAGTTACCAAAAATGTGAGGTTGGCTGGCCAGAAATGCAATATGCAAGAGTGTTCAGTCAGATTTGCATATGCACAAAAGAGGACCATGTTCGAAGAGCTAAAAATACAAAATAATGAAAGAGCATGTCAACTCGTCTATAATCACATACCAGTATTAATTAAATCTAATATCTAATAGAGTATGATCTGAACTGATCAAATCTATGAAAATCTAGAAGGGTTTATCTTGACATAAAAGATTAATATCTTTAAACAAAGTGCTTATTAACAGAGGGAGAAAATTTGAATTGAGACTACCTTGAGATGATACTTTTTCTGTAAGGACTGCCGAACAAGACCCGTGTATATGCCACACATCCACCAAGCGAAAAACAAACCCTCACATATGAGAAATGAAGTCCTTGGATCAATACCATGGAAGACTGCTGTTGCAGCTGCCAATGCAAGGCCACCTTCAACACAGATAGCGTGACAAATGCATGGTGTAGTCCAAGGGGTATCATCCCTCAAGTTCTCAACATTGCGCCCAAATAGAACACATGGACAAAACAGTCCTGTCCAGCCTACAGATCCAGTCAAAATGCCAAAACATATTATCAACTTCATAAAGGAGGCCAGTGTGTTATTTTCTCACATAATATATTAAAGTCAAACCCCGACCCAGGCAACGAAGAAAACCTCATCTGCTTGAAGTTACCAGATCCATTATTGTTTGGTGAAACCATAAATCAAAGGCAATTGGCAAATACATCAACTTACAACTTTCTGTATCTTCTGCACAGCCAAAAATCCCAGTCGTCCACGGCTCAACTGCTGGAGGCTCAAAATTTTCAGGTAGAGGCTGTCCACATTCATTGCACTTCCGTACATTCAACTGAGCAACGAGATACAGGATCAGAGAAATCAATCATTCTGCCCATAATCCAATTTACATCAACATTATGAATTTTGAGACCGATATGGTCAACTTATTACGATGCTTATGGGCAAAATGTTCATGTTATGAGTTCATGAAACCACTATACTGATTCAACTTCTAAACTTATCATTTTCTCAAAGAATTGTGACAGATCTACGAGGTACAGTAATCCAAAATCTTAGAGCAGATCCAAAATCTTAGAACAGATCTAAAATCTTAGGTAACTAATCCTAAAAAGTTAGAATCCTCAATTTGCTTCTCACTGTGCAGGAACATAGAACCTAATTTCCGGCCTTATTCAACTAAAAAAAAAAATAGCTACACCACTACTCCCAAATAATTTCAATCCTGTTGAACAAATCTAACTAGATTTATGAATTCCAATTCACAACAAAATTCAAATTAACGCAATTGAAAGACCAAAAAAAGTCCAGATTTCATGAGATCAAAATCCCTGGATCGAAAAGAAACGGAAACAGAATAAAAATCCAGAAAAAAAAAAAAAAAGAACAGAAACAGAAACATAAAAAAAGAAAAAAATTCTACAAAAAACGGAAACAGAAACGAACCAACCTGAGGAACTTCAATAGGTTGATTAAGTTCGCCGGGTTTGATCTCATCCACAGGCGCCTGTTCCTTGGTCAGCTTCACATATCTAGATTGCACCTCCGACATCAGATCTAAACACCGAAATATCAAATCAAAAACCACAAAAATCCTTGGAAATTCGTAGCTCAAGCGAGAAACAAGAACAGAAACAAAAAAAACAAAAAAAAAAAACCGAACGGATTTAAAGTAAACGGAACTCTGATTCTTACCGTGTCGAAGATGAAGACAATGAAGACGATCTGAAACTCGTAATGGTCGAAGAGGGTCAACCAGTGTGAAGACACTTCGGTTTCTTCTTATTACTGGTCCTTATTACCACTGTTCAGGAATTAGGGAAGGAAATCTCGTCTTCTGACCTGTGGATCTAGCTAAGGTAGCTTTGGAATGACCCGAGTCCACCCAAGGCTGTCGTTTTGGTGCAAAACGGCAGGCTTCCCCCTGTTACGTCACAAGCCGCCCGTTTTTTTTTTTTTTTTCTTTAATTTTTTATTAAGAATGTTATA